TAATAAAGGTCTTGCAAAATCGGTCCAGCCATTCCAGAGATTAGCCAGTACAAAAAGACAGAGAGACAGACACAAATTGTAAAAATGTTATTTTGCCATGCATGTAGTAAAAAGCGGTTAATTTTAATATTACAAACAGACATTTCAATTTTATTTATCTTTTTAAAAATATATTTATAGACTATATAATTAACATTTGACTGCACGGTTTGTGCGGTGGCTGGGCAACCGGCTGCCGTGCAACGTGTCGCGGGTTCGATTCCCGCACGGAACAACACTTTGTGTGATCCACAGATTGTTGCTCCGGGTCTGGGTGTCATGTGTATGTGAACTTGTATGTTTGTAAACGCACCCACGACACAGGAGAAAAATCCTAGTGTGGGGCAACGTATTTTTTAAAAAAAGAAAAAAAAATATGCATGTAGTAAAAAGCGGTAAATTTTAATATTACAAAAGAATACTCCAATATGATTATTCTGTATAAATATACCTCTATAGATGTACAGACTATATAATATACAATATATAATATACAATTTTTATTTACTTTTTATAGATTTCCGTGCAGTATTTTTTTGATTCGATACAGTAACTATCCTATTTTAACTTATTGGTATAAAAATATCATAAGTGCTTAATTTGTTGTGTATATTAAATCCTATGCCTACGTACTATTTTGGGAAGCAATAAAGAATTCAATTATAAAAAATCCTTTTGAACGTGATCGCCTGATCACACCCGATCAAAGCCACCACATTCAAGCTCAAATGTCTATCACAGATATCTAGCACGAACACTCTTTAGTCTAATTGGTACTCCAAACACCACCAAAGGAATTTCAACCTTTACTACTGTTTCACAAAGTGTTTTTTTGCTTTGAGAAGTTGTTTCTCGTTTCTAGTGTTCCATTTCATTTGCGGGCTCTTAAGTTCTTTGTCAATTAGTGTACAAGTGCAGCTCTAAGGGAGTTTACTCTTAATGTTGATGGACAACACTTTATTTCATAGTTCTCGAGGGAATTTCTCAAAATAACACGCTTGTTTTATTTCCAAAGGAGGGCAGTATGGTACGAAACTTTCATTTTGAAGACCACTCAGTTTTCAAAATCGTTGTTCTAATATTCACATCTAACTGTCTATACATATATTTAATAAAATCGAAGGAAAGTGAAAACTGTACATAACATAACATCACGTCTTTTATCTGTACAGGGTTAGGCAGAGGTACACATTACGGCACTTAATGCCACTGTAAAATGTTACACCGTTACACCCACTTATCACTATTTATGTTAAGAGTCCCATGTAATAAGGGGGAGCCTATTGCCATATACCGGGCACATTTCCAGATTCCGTGCTACACCTGATATACTTTGCGCGACCCGGGAATCGAACCCGAGACTCCGGCAGTCGCACTTGCGACCACCCGGCCAACGAGGCAGTCTGAAAACGAATATTTTTATAAAAGAATGCTTTGGGCGTGATCTACAATCGGTACCGAAGCCAAAAATATAGACTTTAGAATTTATGTCTGTTTGTCTATTTGTCTGTATGTATGTCCGGGATGAACTCGTAAATTGCGACACGGATTTATCTCAAACTTTGCATTAATATTATATCATACAATATATATATATAGCAAAACATTTAAATCAAAGTTATATTGTATATCAGTGTACCTTGATATATTCCATTAGCATAGTGTCTTGCACATTTTGTTTCCACGAAACGAGAGCCCTCAGACCTTCGACAATCATCTCTGGTGTCACCTGGAACCAGAAAGAAAAAACTTTAAATGTCAACAATACAAATACCTAATAATAGAAGTACCTAAGATGAAGTCGGCGAAATGAGCTTGAACATTCCCGCCCGTCATGTGATGTCACATGTCGGACCGCGATCGAGTTCAAATACATAACACAACATAACATCACCCTTTTTATCCCCGAAGGGGTAGGCAGAGGTGCACACAGAGGTAACACCCACTTTTCACTATTTATGTTATGAGTCTCATGTAATGGGTCATGTAATCAATAACTGGGTTTTAAAAAAAATCTCAGTAGTAGCACGGAGTCTGGAAATGTGCCCGGTATATGGCAATAGGCTCACCCCCTATTAAATGGGACTCATAATATAAATAGTGAAAAGTGAGTGTTACATTGTACAGTGGCATAATTTGCACCTCTGCGTACCCCTTCAAAGATAAAAGGCGGGATATTATGTTATGTTATGTCTCCGTATCATTACTTGGATGCTACCACCGAGCACGGCATCGTCGTAAATTCAAGTCATGGCTAAGGAGTCATTGAGATTTCCTGTTTCCCTAATAAAAATATCTCCTGCCAAAGATCATAAGGATTTGTGATAAACGAGACCAAGCAAAATTATATTATTTAACCCTTTAAGTACCGTCATTATAGACAGAATTAAAGAACAATAGGTTGCGGTCACCGGTGTCCTCGCGGTGTTTGATAGTTTAATACAGTTTCGTACTAATAAACTTACGTCACAATGCAACGGCAGCGGTGCACTAGTGGAGTCAGCTAATGCAGAATTGGTCTTGATGAAAAGAGGAGACAGCATTTTACTGCGGGATCCGTACTGAGCTTCCTTTGAATGCTTTGATACATTAGCTGTAGAATTCAACAAAATGGCTGCGTCAGACATCTGAGAGCAATCGCATTCTGTGTTTTAACGTTGCCCCACACTAGGATTTTCTCCTGTGTCGTGGGTGCGTTTACAAACATACAAGTTCACATATACAATGACACCCAGACCCGAAACAATAATTTGTGGATCACACAAAGAGTTGTTTCGTGCGGGAATCGATCCTGCGACGCGTTGCACGGCAGCCGGTTGCCCAGCCATCGCGCCAATCGTGCAGATTTTATATTTGTGTACACGTCACCAACGGTAAAAGAACGGGCTTATAATTTCTAGTTATGGCGTATTGAGCAAGCGTGGTGATTAATGGTCAAACCTTCTCCGTGCGAGAAGAGGCTATTGGTCAGCAGTGGCCACTTATAGGCTGTTAATGTGTGACGTGTACACGTCACTTATTTATTCTTTCATTCTTTTTAATAGATTAGGGTTTCTACCCGGTGTGTGGCAATAGGCCGAGCACCTATTGCTATATACTTTATGCGATACATAAAGTTTTATACCTATACGCACCTCTGCTTAATCCTTCAGGGATTAAAACGCGATGTTTTGTTGATAAATACAAACTAGTGCTACTACACAAATAAGCCGCCGCCTTGTTGGGCAGTTTGATGCACAAAGAGTAACAACAATTGCTTACCATCAGATGATCCATCTATATCATTTGTCGACCTGTCCCATAAACATCCTAATTAATTTTCTCAGCCATAACATGAGACCAACATGAGGAGGAGATTTGAGAGCCTTCATTTACATTTATCCATTAGCTATTGGCACCAGAGTCTAAACATTGGAAACAAAGGATCATCAACAGTGATTTAAATTGCCACTTACTCAGACAAGTACAAATAAGATCCAATGCAATGTTTTGACAGGCGGCGGAAGACATCTGGCGGGTTCAGACGTTAAGAGTTTGACTGCACCCGTTACCGATAATTACAGGACGACGATGTGACATAGGAATATGCCAAAAGAGGACCTAACTTCACTCTTTCTACTTTTTGTAATTACCTATGTTAAAAGTTTAATCCTCCCACCCAAATCCCCAATTCCCAGTCCCCGCTTCTCATTACCCAAATTCACAATCCCGAAAACGCTAGCAACGTACTTTGAACTCCTTGGGTTGTGCAATCAGCCCTGCCCATGGACACCCCCATGGGCAGTGCTGATTGCTTACTATCAGGTGATCGCGAGATAGCTATCATGTGATCAGCGATGTAATTTAAGATAAAACTTACAAAGCTTGAAATACTGTTCACCCTCGTATTTCATCTGCCGAGCGAATGACTTTAGCTTCGGCTTCCTCCTCCGCGTCCATGTCTTTTCAACCTTCCTTTTTGCATGTACAACCTTCCTTTTGGCGAACCTTTTGGCTAATCGTACAAATTTCTTTCGGTTCGTTCTTTTCTTTAAATATCTGATGACAAACCGCTAGTTCTAACTCGAAGATTAAATCAAACAATAAAGAAAAACAAAAACTGGTTTATTACAAATAAAATCAAAAAATCATTTTACATGTCAGAACACAAAGTTGTCTACCTTCGACGGCAACAGCGGTGTCCACAATGTAAGCATCCTGGAGTTCTGGACCCGCTGCGGGAAGACAGTCTCGTGAATATCGTAGACACGGACAGATCCCGCACTTTCTTCTCGATCGGCATTCGTGCCCTCCTGCGAATCGTAGTTCTCCTAACTTGACGTCGTGTGTAGGATCGTCGTCTCTTTTCGACTCTTCCCTGTCTTCTTGCTCTCTTTTTCCTCTCAGGTACCTTCGGTTCTCTTTTAATGATAGGCTTCGGTGGTTCAGGGCGGGTATCCGCCATCTCTATTCGACTCCTGGCGGAATAAGTTGCAGACGCGGACGACTCACTATTGGAACCATGCTCGTCCTGCGGTCTCTCTTCATTGTACAAGTCGTTAGCGGAATTCGTCCGAGTCTCTTTCTTACTTGTGGACGGCTGGTTATCCTCCTTCGTATTTTCATCTTCCATTGCCAATTTCTTCCAAAGATAACTGATAATTTTGTACTTTAAACAATAAAAATCTCACATAGAAAATGTTGAAAATGTTCACCTGTCAAAAAGTCACAGTTATATTCTCACTTGTTTTGAATTTGCTCTTTTTGGAACGTGCCAGAACGAATGTTCTTTTTATGATAGAAAAGAGTTCGCTCGGCATGTTGCACGGCCGGAGGAAGAGGTTTTATTCTTTTATATTGATAGCAGATTATAATGTGAATTCTAAAGTCATAGAAATAAGACAGTTTATTTAAATTAAAACCTAGTTTAGAAGTAATTGTAGCTTAGTAGCTTATATAAAAACTCGTTTTTTTCCCTACAGGTGTTGGTGCGGGCTTAGCAAGACAGCACACGGTTCGAACACCCAGACCGCCAACCCTGGGGAGGCATGGGTACCAGCTCGACATACACAGTCGGCTCCAACTGATGCCTATGGAACTGTTGAGTTTCAGGGAGGACCACATCCAACCAAAGCACAGGTAAAACTATCTAAATCTTAATAATCAAACATTAATTATGCAACATACTGTCGTCACTTTTTTGCACAACTTATCTTTCTATGCTAATTGGAATTTGATTTCATGAATGCTGAACCGCAAATGGTGCAATGAATACAACTGATCCTCTTTCCACAGTATGTTCGACTTTCCCACGACACAAGACCAGAGTTAATAGTGCAACTGCTAACAAGAGAATGGGCCCTCGACCGACCGAAACTGCTCATCACCATCCAGGGTGGCAAAGCGAACTTTGATCTTCAACCAAAGCTTAAGAAAGTGCTAAGAAAAGGACTGCTCAAGGCTGCAAAGACCACTGGTGCCTGGATATTCACTGGAGGCACTAATACCGGTAAATAACTATAATGCTTGTATTGTAACTTTCGTGAGACATACTAAATAAATTATTATGTTTTCGGCTTACTCACGTAGTAATTTGACGAGGAACTCGACTACATAGTTTCAAGCCATGCTAGAGGCTCATATTCATGAGCAGCATCTCGTCAAATTACTACGTGAGTAAGCCGAAAACATAATAATTTAACTATAATGCTGTATATTAAATGTAGATTAAATAACTATGTACCTACTTTATTTTAATTTAGAAATCAAATCCATCACTAACGATGTAAAAAAAGGATCTACTGATTCTATTGCCATATCTGTAAACACTGCTATTTTCTCTTAATATTCAAATTCAATAGCACCTCAGCTCAACCTAGGTATCAACTCCATCATTTACGACATACAAGAGATGTATTTATTTATAGTTAATAAAAAATGCCTGCCTCGTTGGTCGAGTGGTCGCAGTTGCGACTCGGCGGCAAGGGGTATCGGGTTCGATTCCCGGGTCGGGCAAAGTATTACTGGGTTGTTTAAAAATTCTCAGTAGTAGCACGGAGTCTGGAACTGTGCCCAGTGTATGGCAATAGGCTCACCCCCTATTACATGGGACTCATAACATAAATAGTGAAAATTGGGTGTTACATTGTACAGTGGTATAATGTGCACCTCTGCCTACCCCATTGAGGATAAAAGGCGTGATGTTACGTTTTTTTTGTTAATAAAAAATGTAGTATCCAAATGCCAGGAGACTTGCCAGCCATTTTATAAATAACTTCTGCCGTGACGTCACTACTTAGGTTTATAGATGTTCTTCCTTCGCGATCTAAATTAATCTGTCATACGCAGAAGACTAGGTAAACTCACCCCCTTCCCTTTAAATAATATGATTTCGGGTTCAAATACTTTGAGCAAATGACTCGAAGTTTCTAGAACTTCGTGGAAAATAAGAAAGAATGTATGGTACTACACTAAAAAAAGGTAGGAAATAAGTCACACAGGAAAACCTTTTAAAGACCATTATTCTCGAGATTTATTGAACTATTCTATCGTAATGATGCATCAAGAAAACGCATGCTATCAAGGAAAAGATAATAAAAATGAAACTCTTTTATTAGCAACATTACATTTATTATAAATCTGCTAACATTTCACCCCATATTCGATCTTCGATCATTTGAAATTCAAATAAATAAATTTAATTTTATTTGTAAAATAAATTAATTCCTCGTTGGCCGAGTGCTGGCAAGTGTGACTGCTGGGCAAGGGGTCTCGGGTTCGATTCCCGGGTCGGGCAAAGTATTACTGGGTTTTAAAAAAATTTTCAGTAGTAGCACGGAGTCTGGAATTGTGCCCGGTATATGGCAATAGGCTCACCCCCTATTACATGGAACTCATAACATAAATAGTGAACAGTGGCATAATGTACACCTCTGCCTACCCCTTCGGGGATAAAAGGCGTGATGTTATGTATGTATAAATTAATTCCAGTTATTAATTAAAAACTGTATAATACGGATTTTACAGTGTAGTTTAATGTAATACTGAGAATTGATTAAATAAGTTTAAAAGAAGCACGACAAATAAGGTACTGGACACTCAACTGTTCTCTTTTTTGAACATAAAATATTGTGTTTTTGTGTTATAATGTCACTTAGAAATTATTGAAGCACCAAAATCTCAGTGGTTTTTTATGTGTGCGTGTGTAATGGGTTACCACGTTACCACACTTAAGAAAATGACAGATGTCCTTCGTGTCAATGTGTGTATGTTCTGCGTGTAATTCTATAGTAGCCAGGTGCCACAGCCGATGTTTCAAGAGACTGTGCCCGCCTTTTCTTTAACGTCCTTTAGTTTATCCATACTTAGCTAAATTGTTTAGTTACTTTTCGTATCTCTTACTCTTTCCTCATTAGGTATATTAAAATTGATGAATGTTGTTCAGTATTTGGATGTGATGTGGAATTGCGTTTGTGGTTGTGTATATATACCCATCCACGGTACAGGTGAAAATCCTAGTTCGGGGCAATATTTATTTATAACAAAATATTACGAACGGAGTACTATAAAGTGCATTGCAGGACCATGTTAATTCAATACAAACCGAGGCATATTAGTAGAAAGAAAAACATAATAATAGTATCGTGGAATAATAACTTGAAAAACACGACAGTGTATTGCAAAAGTAACTTAATATCCTTTGTTATTATTGGGGAACCTTTCAAGCGGCGTCGGGAATCCTTTTAATTAAACTTTGGCGTTGATTTTTGACATTTTAAAAGCGTAGGTATCTACCTACGCTTGCCTAAGTTATCTAACTCTTCAGTGTTGTAAACACTTAGGCTTTTTGTGTACGAAGCCTCAATAACTAATATTATACATAGTTATCCATCGAAGAATATTCTAATAGTGTGATTTGACTTAACATAGAACCGACTGATATGATGATGAAAAGAACTAACGAATAGAAGACAAATCACAGTCCATACAAATTTACCGAAAAAAAGATACGACATAGATAAGACATAAACAAAAACACAAGATACGACATAGACAACGATACTCCTTACCTTAAATTTTTTTACACCTTCATGTGGAACAATTACTTTCAAAATAATAGTCCAGGCAGTGTTCAGCAAACTTTGTGCATTGAACTTGTAAAAAAATCAACTTAGGAAGTGACTAAGCCATATTTTTACACATTATCTACATTATCATACTTATGGCATTTGCCCGTAAACGAGCAGACGGATCACCTGATGGTAAGCAATCGGCGTCGCCCATGGACACCTGGAACACCAGACGCGTTAAAAGTGCGTTACAGGCTTTTTGGGGATTAGGAGTTTGAGGATCGTTAGGGATTCAGGGATTCTCCGGTAACCTCGCTCACACGACGAAACACAACGCAAGCATTGCTTCACCTCGGTTTTCTGTGAGGCCGTGGTATCATTTCGGTCGAGCTGGCCCATTCGTGCCGAAGCGTGGCTCTCCCACAAAACAAACTTTGTTATCGGACGTGGGACAATTTTGATCCTCTTCATTAACGAGCAATTCACTGTCTCAAACAACTCATACCGACAATACAGATTTATTCTAAAGTCCACTTCGTATACCAGCTCGACTAAATGAAATTTCAGTAGCAGTAAGCATTTTATTCGCTTTGGTGGACGCGAACAGTTGACTCCAGTTTATAATACCCTAGTCTTTTTTTTTTTTTTTTAAGGGGGGAAAATCATCGAATGACTGCTCCCGCCTGGGTGAGGCGGAAGGGAGTGTCAGACTCTTACTGACTAAAAACCACCCCGTTCCTTCTCCTGCACGTCGAGCCAGAGCCCCGGTTACCCGTTAGGTTCTCCGCGACTCCGAATCGGCATCGGCCCTATTGGGCCCCATCTGTGGTGGTCTGATGGCTCTTTGAGGCGCGCGCGGAACGCGACGCGCCGTACGCTCGGGTCTGTTTCTGGTCGGACGGGGAGCCACCCATGCTCGCCGTCCGCAGGCCCGCGCTTACGGTGGCCGGAGATCGTCCCGCGATCCCCGACGCCCGGTGTGTCCTTCGCGATGGCTGGGTTGCGAGGAGGCAGCGCTTCGCTGCCTCACGCGTCCCGCCTCCTCCTTAGCTAGCATGACTGCTTCGCAAAAGGAGGAGACGGCATCCCAGTCCCCCTCGCTCCGCATCATGGCCTGCACTAGGCCCGGACGCGAGAGGTCGCCATCGCCGATCACTTCCCTGAGGGCACGGCGGTGCTCAGCCCACGCAGGGCATTCTCCCACTGTGTGTTCCACCGTATCCTCAGGGCGGTCCTCGCAGTGATGACACCCGGGCGTTTCCTCCCGCCCCATCAGACACAGGTACCTCCCGAAACTTCCATGTCCGGTGAGGACCTGCGTCAGGCGGTAGGTGAGGACGCCGTAGCGTCTCTCAAGCCACTCCTCAAAGAGAGAAGTTTACCCGCAGAGTTCTAGCTGTGTATAGCATAATAATAGTGTTGTTAGTAATATTCGGTGGTTTTAACGCATTCACTGCCCAGTGGATTTATAATAGAATATTATGTATCTGTAGATAAAAGTTAGGGTCATGACACACTGTAATGGAATTTATAATCCATAAGATTATTTATTTTATGTAGTGAAATTGAAAAAATTATCTAAATATAAACTAAGGATGAACGTAATAATTCTATAATTGGTAAGTAGGTTTATATTTAGAACATTGTTGTATTTTAACCGACTTAAAAAAAATGAGGTTCTCAGTTTGACCTGTATGTTTGTTTGTACGCGATTATCTCGCGATTGGTTGAACCGATTTTGATGCGGTTTTCAGAAAAACTTCTGTTACATTTGGGGGATGGGTTTAGTATACTAATTAACCTACTTCAAAAACAGGAGGTTGATGTTGGATTTTTAAACGTATGTCACGACGCGATGCCATTATATATAAATTATAGTCTTTCACCATAGATATTTAGTAAGGTACTTATTATCTCGTATAGGTTTATCCTAAAACATTTCGATAGTTGGCTATAGCGCCTGGTGGATATGGTATTTAAAATCTTCAAAGGCACCGCCGTGCATTGTATTGCCGTTATCAGCAAACTAATGTGATTCTATTGTGCGTATGTAGATAAGAGTCATATGAAATATTAGGTTTCTTGGAAAAACAATTAGGTATCTAGGTAGATTTTGGCTTTAGCTCTCGTGGTATTTAAAATCTTCTAAGGCACCGCCGTGCATTGTATTGCCGTTATCAGCAAACTAATGTGATTCTATTATGCGTATGTATGTGTTATGTGAAATTTTAGGTTTCTTGGAAAAAAAAGAGATGATCGAGATAACATTGAAAAAAATACCACCAAAGGTGATCGTAGTCTTACGTGGATATTTCTTTTTTCAATTGTTCTAAGTATATTTATATTTCGAAACGGCTGAACAAAATTATTGATTATTGCATTGGTAGTAGTAGAATAAGTTTTTTTTATAATTCGTACAAAGTGTGTAATGACCTTTATCAAAGAAATCAGATAAGGAAGTACATATGTCTAAATATGGGTTTCGAAACAATAGACCCTCGGACGCGTCGACGGGCAGCAGGTAAAAAAAGGGTCAAATGAATAGAACGCATATTTGAGTCCCGGGCACATAGCGTCGTGTCACAAAACGCACAGACGCGTCATGGGCACTGAATGCGTTAAGGATGCTAAGGGGTCACTTTATATTCAACTATCCCTAACTAACTTTATAATTGGTACCTACAATTTATAATCAAGTGGAATTTAAAATGTCTGATATTATAAGATGGTAGCTATTTAGTTACATTTTTTTAGTATTTTTTTTTAAAATAACAAGTCAGAAGGAACGTTATTATTCTCCAGGTATCATGATTTAAAATTCCACTTTCTTATTATAGGTCCCTACCTAATATAATAAAAAGCTACTGTCGAGAAGAAAATGAATTCATTCTCGATACACTTTTTGTTATACATTCTTCATGCAGCGTAAACAAAATCAAATTTTAGATTCTTCATTAGTAAATTCAGTATAACTTCACATCAGATATAATTTAAAAGAGAGAACAAACTCATAATCTTTACTTCTCCAACAGGTGTTACCAGACAAGTAGGCGACGCGTTGCAGCTGGAGCGGTCGCAGCGAGCAGGTAGAGTGGTCAGCATCGGTATCGCACCCTGGGGTATCGTCGAGGGCGCCAACGAACTCATCGGTAGAGGCAGAGATGTCCCGTACCACGCGATAGCGTCACCAAGGTAAGAACATTTTGATATTTTTAAACGCCGACTTATTTTGAAGGCTGTTTTCTTTTTATTGGCCACAAGGTACTGTACTCCATCTCTCTGGCTACCGTATCGTAGGAAGTGGACTAATGAACTACGTACACCGCACAGCAGCATTCTATGATAAACCTAAATCCTTTTAAACTTGCGTACGGCGCGTCCCGTTAAGCGCGCTCCTCAAATAGTCATCAGACCACCACAGATGGCCCCCAATAAGGCTGATGCGGAGCCGCGGAAGGCCTAATGTGTTCCCCGGTCTCCGGTTCGAAGAGCAGGAAAAGGAACAGGGTGGAAGAGCAGGAGAAGGAACAGGGTGGTTTTTAGGGGTTTTTCACCAACTCGACACGAGGAACTGATCACACGTGTGTCCAGTTGGTGAAACTTTAAATTAGCACTAATTATTCTTTCGTCATTTGGACACGCCAAGGTTTTTATGTATGTCCACATAGTGAAAATTAAAATTAATTACTTTTATGTTATCGTCAACTGGACACACCTATATTTTTTTTCTAAAAAAGGTACAGTTAAGTTAAAAATTGTTTCGGTTTTAAGACAAATTTTGAAATAAAACAAATGAGTAACAATCATATATTTATATTAGAGTTAGACTCAAAGACTGTAATAAAACAGGTTCCATGTTGAAGATTTGACAAGCATAGTACTCGTAACATGGTAATAGCGACTTTCAAACACTTTCGGTGTCAAAAATATATTTTTTACAAATTCACAAATGGTGAATAATTACAAAATTACCCGGTGAAATTACTAGGTGGGACGTTTAGAGGACAACGATGATTGTGATTCAAAAATATTATCTGCGTGACTGTACTTTGTTATACATTCGGGTAAAATGTGAACGTGTGTCCAGTTGACGAAAACACAAAAGTAACTTAATTTGATTTTCACTATGTGGACATACATAAAAACCTTGGCGTGTCCAAATGACGAAAGAATAATTAGTGCTAATTTAAAGTTTCACCAACTGGACACACGTGTGATCAGTTCCTCGTGTCGAGTTGGTGAAAAACCCGTTTTTAGTCAGTAAGAGTCTAACACTCCCTCTTACCTAACCCAAGGCGGTTCAAAAAAAATCCTTTTAAACTGCGATCTTCAGCCCGCGTGGAAATTGTGGCAAACCATTTTTTGAGACCCATTAGTCCACCAATAGACTCTCAAGGGTTATTGATGATGACGATGACTATTTACTGCCAAATATGAAGTATTATTTTAGTTTAAACCTTTAGGTTGTTTAAATATCGAGTTACTTTCAAAATATTGGTGTTTTTCTTACACTCTAAAGTAAAGCAAAAGTGTTTTACTTAGTGACTCAGTACACGAACATATTCCTAATAAATAAATCTTCTTATTCAAGTTCTTACGCTAAACTTTGTAGACAAAATCTGAATACGAATGGTCTTAAACTCGTGACGTGACTATTTTACACGTCTTTAAATCGTTACATGAATTTTTCACGCAATAAAAATCATTAATGTTTATTTTATTTAATCATATTGCACAATATACATATATTATTATAATAGGAAGTATTACATACAACTAGTACAGTACATTACCATGTTAGGAGGCAGCAATTTAACTTATAACTAACAGGTTCATCATTATCATCAGCCTGTATTCGTCCCCTGCTGGATATGAGCTCGGTCTTCAGCTCTTACAACTCATACAACTGCCAGCCACCTTGCAGATGTCGTCACTCCTAGCCCTAGCTGGAGGGCGCCCTACACTGCGTTTGCCTAGACGCGGTCTCCACTCTAGAACACGTTTACCCCAACGGTTGTCGGTTCTTCGACAAATGTGACCGGCCCACTGCCAATTCAGCTTACTGATCCTTTGGGCTATGTCGATAACTTTGGTTCTCTGTCGGATCACTTCGTTACGGTTAATATTAATAATATTGCTGAAAATATATTTGTTCCCCACTCCATTACTCTTGTAATACAGGATTTGAGAGCATTTGAACGTAACGTAAATATATACGGGACAAGAAACAAACAGCGTTGTATGTATTACAAACATTTGGTCCATCTCGACCACACGGTAAAGCTCTCTCGTTGCTCTGTTTACATAGGTCTTTACCCAGCTACACTACCTATGTATGTGGGTACTATATATAGAGGTATATGCTACCTTGAATGTTTTAGGAGCTTATGGTTGTGTATATTGAAAGGTACATCTCATTTGAAGGGTTTGTTGTAGGCTGCGTGACGTATTACGCGTCTGTGGTTTTTAAAAGGAGATTTTCGAAATCAAGTAAAATTCGCAGATTACTCAAGTGAATATACTGAGAAAAGCTCTGCTAGTTTCGTAACTAATTAATATTAATTCATTAATGTTAAAAAAAATAAAAACTGCGTTGAAAAAACCGACTTCAAAAAACAAAAATTAATAATAAACAAAAAGTAAAAACTAAAAAGAAAAAAATAACTATTATTAGTACCGATAGGTTACCTACCCCCAGCCACCCACTGATAGGTTAGAAGTCGATGCCATAAATTCTATACAAAATTATTCATTAAAACCTTAATAGATACCTAATTTACAATTTTGTGGTCATTAAGTTATATCATTATGATATTATGAGCTTAGTCGTGTGTTGATAAATACATATATTCGCTATTGAATAGAAGGAATTAAGAGCCGTAATGTGCACCTTTGTGTACCCCTTTGGGGATAAACAGCGTGATGTTATGTAAAATGGTTAGAACATATTTTCACTAATGCATGTTAGTGCCATATAGTTGACTGCAAGGGGTTTTGGGTTCGATTCCCGGGTCAGGCAAAGTATTCCTGGGCTTTTTAAAAAATTTCAGTTGTAGCACGGAGTCTGAAAATGTGTCCGGTATATGGCAATAGGCTCACCCCCTATTACATGGGACTCATAACATAAATAGTGAAAAGTAGGTGTGGTGTTACATTATATAGTGGTATTAAGTGCCGTAATGTGCACCTCTGTCTACCCCTTCGGGGATAAAAGGCGTGTTGTTATGATGTTATGTTATGATAGTGCCACTAGCACAACCAAACTGATTTTGACATAATAGCACTTTTCCATGTCATTTATAGCACTAGAACACAGATTATTTGAATATAAAAGCCATTCTGTTGGTATTTTATTAGATAGACGACTATAAAACTATGATTAATATCTTTAGTTTTAGTTCTCGAAAAATGAAATGGTATTCATTTTTAAAATACAATATTTAAAAATATATTTCAGTTATCTGATAGCTTTATTTATTTCATATCTATCTATAGCCTTTAGCATTTCAATATAATGGTTTTAATAAAAATCTTTTGATTTAAAAAAAATGTTACCCCACTCTTGCATTTTCTCTAGTGTCGATAGGTACTCTCTCTTCAAATTTCGTACTATGTCCACTATTTATGACTGATAAAGTATTAAGAGCTTAGTAAAAATTCTGAAAATATTACCCCGGTTTTTCTTCTTCTCCTCTTATAATATCTTCTGATTCACTTCGTTGCGGGAACCAAGACAGTTACTCATGTCCCTGGGACGCGCCGGACTTCAGTGTTCCGGTGTTTTCATGGTTGTATCTACTGTAGATCCTGGCTTACAGGAGTTGCAGCGGTTTTGGGAGGTTGTGGGGGACTTGTCCTATTAAAAAAAAACCCCGGTTATTGGTTCAAAAAGCAACACAGAAGTTTCAACTAGAAATATTTTATTTATAACTTAAAACTAATAATTAATATCAAAATGACACATTTCTGTCACACTTTAAAAGGGTCAGGTGTGTTTATATACGTAGCATTAGTCAGTCCGTTTGTCTGTGCCTGGTACAACACGTCATTGATCAACTTCTCTGCCAAGATCCTCATGTTCCCGGGCAGGTTGCGCAGTTTCGCGGCCACATTCACGCCTGAAAAGAAATGTTTTATTTAGACTTTGAATGTAAAATAACTTTTATACATAGCTTTTAGTCAATGCTAATCGTGTGGGTGAGCCAAGCTTCGGCACGAATGGGCCGGCTCGACCGAGGTGATACCACGGCCTCATAGAAAATCGACGTGAAACAGCGCTTGCGTTGTGTTTCGTCATGTGAGTGAGGTTACAGGAGGCCCAGTTACCCCCCGTCTCCCGTCCCTATCTCCCCAATCCCTGAATCCCCAAATTCCTACTCCTCTGGTGTTCTATAGGCAACGGCGATTGTTTACCATCAGGTGATGCGTCTGATCGTTAATCGGTTTATCCCATAAACAAATCGACCTTGAAAAATAATTAACAATTTGTAGTTTGCCTTTTGACACTTTTACACTCATACTGACTTCGGTACGTACCTACATTTTTTATTCTTCTAAAGTACAATACTAGCAATTCTGATTTAAAAAAAATGAATTTGATCAAACACTAGTCGAGTTTTACTCTTACATATTTAAAGCTTAAGTTCATTCACACACAATGACATTAAAATACAAAATAAGTAATAGCACACACAAACTCCCATTTCATTTCCATATTCATTAGAAATTATCCTGCGGGTCTATTAATACTGTGGGTATTATATTAAGAATAGATGGATATATTTCTGGGTATCTATTGTTTTAGGCAAGGGTCCATCCGGACTTTAAAGTTCAATGAACCGAGACATAAGGATCCAATTAACTTACATCATGAGATAGTCGGAATGTAGGCTATTCATTTAGAGGTAGTATTGGACCAGTTATTATGTCGAACAATATGTATAGAAGTATATTGAAAACATGAAATCAATCTTGGTTTGAAAATACTTCTGGAATCACAAACGTTTATCTATAATGTGATTTGGTAAAAGTCGCTGGGCTGGGCATCACATCACTAAATAGTACAAAACAAAGTCGCTATCCACCGTCTGTCTGTCCCTATGTATGCTTAGATCTTTAAAACTGCGCAACGGATTTTGATGCGGTTTATTCTAATAGATAGAATGAGTGTTTTAATAGCATACATGCATAAC